GCTCCTGCGCAGCGCCGAGAACAACGCCTGCAGCGCTTCTGTCTGCATCCCGACTCCAAATCCTGTTGGACCCCAAGAAATAAATAAAAGAAAAGCGAGTGATTTGTCAAGCTGCCTCTGACTAGCCAGCTAAGCAGGGCAAGACAGCCAGGTCCAAATGTGACTTTGCTGGCAGGCAGGGAGTGTTTTGTGATCGATACATGCAATGGGCTATTAGGAACAGGGTAATAGAAAATGCTTTGCTGTAATGATGCACAGGAACAGGCAGGGAGCTGCCCTGATTGCCTCCCAGAGCACCAAGACACGGGTGTTTATGGAAGCTGAGAGCCTTCTCCTTCTCCCCCAGGGATCAGGGGGCATTTTATCACTGATTTTAGCTGGAGATGTAGCAAGTACTAACTGGCCCCAGTCATGGTGGAGCTGACAGTTAATGCTGTCTTATCCTGTCCATCATCTAAAGAACAGTCAGTATCTTTTAGTTTAATTTCTGGTTTTCTAATAGAAGTAGGATGAAGAATTTTTTGATGGTGTAAAAATGTTTGGATTTTCATCTCCACTTTCTCCTCTTTTTGAAGAGAGATAAGAAGAAAGAAATACACATGGAATTGAACATGGTATGATGAGTGCCTTCATTACTGAGCCACAGCACAGTGACTTCTTTTCCCCATTATATCTGTAATACTACACTTTTCACTTACAAGGAAAATCAAATAATTCTACCCGCTTTTCACACTGTCTTTTCATCCAGGAAGAGTGCAATGCCTGTGAACCCTTCCCCCAAGCCTGCTTGTTCCACAATGTCTTTGAGAGATTTCATTGACACTGCTAGAAATAATTTTTTTGTTGCTTGTAGGTGATATTGATTTTGTTATGCTATCTTTCTATTTATTTGGCATTTAGTTTATGAGCCCTTCATGGAAGGACTATGTCCCTCCATGTTTCTCTAGTGTATTCTGGCATGCTTTGAATACAAGAGACCTGTACACAGCCAGGAGATAGCACAGGAAAATCTATCTATTAAAAATAGCTGGATAACAGGCTAGACTAAAGGTTCCAAACATGTCCTCAGGCTTTATGTGTTTCTCACTGCCATAGCACAATTATATATTGCATGTTACACCTGAAATAATTTTTCTACACGTTACAATGCCATGGAAGCTTTGGGCTACCTCTCTGACTGGGAATCTGTCACAGAAGAGCCTCACACAAGAGGAGGGGATGGAGCTGTGCATTAACAAGAAGGTCTGGATAACTGTTCCTTCCCATTTTATACATCATAACATGTATGCTTACAAGTGCTTGGAAAAACAGAAAGTGACTGGTGCTTGCCAACTTCATTAGCACTGTCGTTGAGTGCTTGAAGGCCTACTGTGCTGACATGGTTCTCTTAGAGCAGGGGTGTTTCCTTACCATTCCTCAAAGCCTCTTTTTCCATCCCTTCCTTGAATGTGCTTAGAACAGCATCCACCTCTTCCAGGTCCACAAACCCAGATGCGTTGTTGTCCCACTTTTGGAAAAGTGCCTCCAGAAGCAGCTTCCGCTGGGCCACACCAGCAGTGCACTGAGCCTGCAACAGAGGAGCAGCTGACCTTTGGGCACTCCTGGCACTGCTGCTCAGTGGAAATACAGACATGCACAAATGTGGAAAACACAGTATTTCCTGTGGGTCGGGCCAAATCTGTACATACACAGCTCAGACCTGGACAGGAATCATGGAACATGGGAGATATCTGGAAACGCTGAACACAGCCAACAGTGCAGTTATCCCAGGCAGGCTCAGCACTGCAGAGGGTTATTTCCCAGTGAACAAATGGAGCCTGTGCTGGATCTAAAGTGAGATCAACTCAGGCAAGGGCAAATTTCCCAGAATACAAATATCTTCCCAGCAAGTACTAACCACAGCCTTGTTAGAAACACCCAAAGCTGTGATGGTTTGTATTTCCATACATTGTTATTTTGCTGGTGCTGCCCTGAAGTGTGTGGGCTCCAAGGAAATGCAGGTACAATTAGTCCTCTAAACCCAGTCTCTGCAAAGCACACGGTGATAAATGACTTGAGTGGAATTCTCTCAAAGGCCAAAATCCTGGCAGCATGTGTTGTGTTCAGCGTGAGGACAGTGGAGACGTCAGATCCAATATCTCATCCAAATTAGGTCAGCAGCACAGAGGAAAACTAGAAAGAGGTCCGAGGAAAATGCAGCTAGAGCCTACTATGGACAGACCCACCACAAAATGTATCTGTACTCTGAAGTGATATGAGGCACCCTGATGCTGTGCATGAGGATATTGCTGAAGGGGAATATATTTTTTCAACACATGGCAAGAGCAGCTTGTAACTTAAACACAAAGAAGCATGTGCACATTCAAATACAGGAAAACCAAACACACTTGTTTTAAAATCCTCCCCCAAACATCCACATCCTCATTTGTACATACCAGTGCAGTAGGTCAGAGATCAGGTTCTTGGCTATTATAAAGGTGAATAAGCAGAATGGAATGTTTTGAGCTCTTTCACAATTACCTATCAACCCGCTGTCTCACTGAGTCCAGCTCTAGAACAGCCAGACAACCTCTTACAGGGTGAGTCTGTCATCACTTCTAGAGCTAAGGGCTAGGGAGGGAGGACCCATATGAAAACAATGGGGTAAAAGGTCTCCTGATGAAATAGAGCATGCAAGGCTGCAAGTGAATAGCTCTGCCAGCAAGAGATTAAGAGCTGACTTTGTCAGTGTCTGTAGGCATTTGCTTGTTTTTTGTTTGGACATGGGATCGGCAACACTTATCAGTATTTACTTTTTCTAGCTGTTCCATTTTTTCCTCTTCTGTCTGTTTGTATTCTTCTTTGATAAATGCAATAAGCCTCTTCACAGTCGGCAGAGAAATGTTTTCACCAACAAACGTCTCCATGAGCTGTACAAACTGTGGCAGGTTGAGGCAGCTTTCATCAAAGGCACTCCTAGCACAGGGAGCCCAGTGGTTCTGAATCTCTGCCATGATGGGATGTAAGTCTGAAAGGCAGAAAGCACAGTGCATAGCGGGAAGCCAAACGCTGCCCTAACACCGATGCAGTCCTGAATCCTGTGCTTCCTATCCAGTGAAAGTGTGGCTGAATACAGACTGACTCCATGCTAAAGGCCTTAATCTGCTTGTACTTTCCTAATAGAATCTCTTCAGATTTATGCTCCAGTCTAGCATGGATGCTATCATACAGCCAGGTCAAATCACTGAATACAGGTCAGCTAAAATGACTGTTATACAGCACGTGGCCTTCTGAAACAAAGACTACACTGCTCTTGTCTTGATGTCAGCTCTGGGAATTAGTGTTTGTATTCTTGCCCAACCTTTCAGCTTGCAGCAGTACTGGTATGTCTGCAGACACTGTCAGCCAGTATGTGCCCTAGTGAACACACAACTTTGTGACCAAATACCTGGAAATTTAGTGTTCTCACACTTCCAGTCCTCTGGAATTCTTGCTCCATAGCTACTATACCTGCGGCTTAGGTCCCAAGTCAGAAGGTCACCTGATGAAAGATAAAATATAACTTGTACACAAAGAAGCTTTTAAAAAAGACACAAGATGCAGCTTTCTAAAAGCCTTTAAATACATATATCCTAGCTACAGTTTCTAAAACAGATGAAAAGAGCTGGCATGAGCAGTCACCTGACCATGGCACTTCAAACTCCTGGCTAGCTTCAGCTGGAGAATCCTGCCTGTCCGAGTGTGCTGGACCTGCAATTTTAAAAAGAAATCTTCTGTGAACCAGAGCTTACTAGTCTGAGCACCGGGCTGATTAATATGTAAAATCTATCTCTCTGTCTCTGTAGTTACCCTTGTTATCAGCAGTTATTTAGTTTTACTGTCTGGAAATATTGCTTCCTGGAATTCACCTGGTGAGTGTTACATTTCTTCAGCTGAACTACAAATATCTATTTTAGCAAGAGTAATAAGATACATTCTTCTCCAAGATAGGTTTAAAATTATATTCAGGCTTCTTGTTTCCATCCACCTGTCCCTCAAAGAGCATTGCACCACCACACCATCATTTCTGCAAGAACAGGGTGTGATTCTGCTCTGAAGACTGAAGTACTTCATGCCCCTAACAACGTGGGATGCACATCCAGGGCCTGGCTGAATGACAGACGAGTGCTGTGTACTGGAAGTTAACCACAGAAAGCTCTAGGTGCCAGAGTGCTGTACCATCAGCTTTACTGCCCTTTGCATAGTAAGTTTGTCACTAGGCTGCTCTGGCAATGTAGACCCAGTTCTTGCTGTGTTTTAACCTGAGACACAAGAGTGTATTCACAGAGCGTGAGCAAGGAGTTTGGTCTTTAAATACCTCTTAGGGAACACACAGTTGCTTGACCACAGCCTTCCTAGAACAAGGGACTTTGTACACAATTAAGAAGTATGATATTCCTTTGGAAACACAGTGAGAGATTAAAATAAAAGGTTCCTGCTCTATGATCTCATATCTCACTCAGGGGCAATCAGTCTAAAAATTACTAAAAGTCATTTCTATATTTAACATGCTCAGGCTCCTGTCTTGCTATACTAATATTACAGAGTGAAACAGAACATAAAGTTTCTCCTTATTATAAAAATGCTGCTGCTTCAGAAAGTCCCTGCTTGAATTAAAGAGTCTGCTCAGTGCCTTGAATACAGATCACCAGCAAAGTGACTCACCTGCCATCCTGTCAGAGGAACACACTCCGAAACCTTGGCAGAAAACACCAAGCTGAGAAGATATCAAAGCTTCTGGTGTTGTGTCTTCAGAAAACACTCACATGCTTTCGATAGTTTTGAAATGGATTAAAAATACATGTATAGAAAAAACAGTCCAGATGTATATGTTGTAAAAGATTAACGTCTGCCAGAATAAAGGGGAAGGCTTTACCTTTATCCTGGCCTTGCAGAATGTCCTCATCCTGCAGTCTTGTCTCTGAGCTTGTCTGTTGGCCAAGCTGGCTGCCATGCTGACTAGAAAAACTCTCTTTTCTTGCAGAAGTCTCTTTCAGAACCTCTGCAACTGGAGGATCCTGTTTTGAATCAATAGCATCTATGTCTGCCACAGCTCTGTCTTCTGAGGTCATAGCTGTAGCTTCAGGTGTTGGTCCTGAAATCGTGTTGGCTGACTCTGTAATCCAATTCTCCTCCTCTTGACTAACTTGCCCTTCTGAGCCAGCTTCTCTGTCCAACGTACAAGAATCTTCTTCTCTATTTGTTTCTGTATCAGGCTCTCTACCTAGGCTAAATTCTTCTTCCTCCACTTGTTTTTCAGATCCAGGTTCTCCACATCTACCGAGACTGTGCCCAGTAGAGGCTGATCCTGCAAAAGAGTCCTCCTGTCTGTCTGCACCTGCAGACTCAGTTTGCTTCTCAGTTTTGTTATCTTCATGGAAACTGGGTTGCTCACTGTGTATGGTATCTCCATCCAAGTCACTAGCTTCAAAATCAGTGCTTTTCACTGCTGACACTTCGTTCTCACCTTCCTTTCTCAACTCAGCATCATGTGATTCTGCTGCTTGGCTTTCTTCCTTAAAAATTCCTTCATCCTCAGCTTTGCTCATGCTCATTTCTTCCAGAAGGCCTTCTGTGACACTAGGTCTCATTCTATATGTGCCTTTTCTATTATCATCTACAGGATGATGTGCTAATGTCTCTCCCTCAGAAATTCCTGTTTGAGTCAAGACTAACTTTTCACCAAGTTCCTCACAAACTTCCTGGTCAAGGCCTCCCCATAAATCCACAAGCTCAATATCTTGCAGCTCAATTATTGGCCCTAAAATAGAAAAAATATCAATAAGTTGATAATTTGCATTGGTTTTATGCTCTCTAGCATTTACAATATATAAATTGTAAAGAAAATTTAAAATAAAAGAAAAAAGGTTTTCCCGAGCAAATACAAACTATCAGAAAGTACCTTCTGCAAACATGCATCTCAGAAACACAGAACTTCAGAATAAGGTCTTCGCCTGCAGAAAACTGCACTTATTATTGTGGATTACACCCTATTTCTTTTGAAATAAATATCACGTTTCATAATTCTCCTTACTAAGAAGGAAAGCTGTAATTTGCCTTGCATTTGATCTTAGCAATTACTGTGCAGTATCTTAAAAATATTTTACTTCCATGTAGCTTCTTCTCGTGTGTTTTTTTCTTTATCTTTCCATGTTCCTGGAGAAACTTTAGTGTAAACACAAAATTAACTTCTAATGTTGCCCAGAAAGAAAGGACAATTGCTTTGGGTAAAGTAGTCTTTCCTTAATCCTACTTCCAAAAAGGACTTGGGCATTTAGTAGGAAGGAGATGTTTTGGATCCTGAAGTATTTCTGAACATTGCATCACAGTTTGCAAAACATGTTTGCAAATTATGGTGTACAGGTCACAGCATTCATTTGGATCCTTTTTTAGGCTTTGTCCATTTCTGGTAACACTTATAAAGCATATATTAACTCTACAACCTCATATGGCCTCCTAATGTTTTAACCACAGTTGTAACATACCATATACTTACACTGACTCGGTTTACAGAATCCCCTCCTGGCAATCACAGGGCTTCTATCATAGAAGTCTGTCAGCAGGGCAAGTATTTTTTGTCTGTCTAAGAGACCAACCTAGACCAAAAAATTACAATTATTGTATTTTTCTCTGGTTCTTGAGACTTACATCAACATTTGCAGCACTACAAAGGCACCATTAGCCAAGAATTACCTGTGACTGAAAATTATTCATTACCAGAACATCAGTAAATATTTCAAAGACCTGAATGTATTTCACAGAGGCAAAAATTTCTCCTCTTAGGCTTAGCTGGAGATATGACTTTGCAGGCACATCCTTTTGCATATTCTTGACAAATTACAGTGAGATGACTGTAACCACTTCTGCCAAAGGAGTTCTTCATGTAAAGATCAAAGCTTCAACATTTCACACTTTCAGGACAGATATTGATTGCTTGACAGTAGTATGGAAGAATTTGCACATATATTATGGGCTGTGCTGTATTATGTTAGTGATGTACATTGTAGTTTGATTTAGTACCCCATCATCTCCTTTGAAGCATTACCTATTGGCAACTGCCTGGGAAAATTATTAGTCAAAAAACCTGAGCTGTTATGACAACCTCCCTGATTTTCTTTAAAAATTCATAAACATTTGACCACAGAGGTGAGAGAGGCATCTGTAGTTCCATGCAGAGGAACATGCAGAGTTTGTTATGTCCCTGTTGCTCACAGTGTGTGTGTATAAAACCAGGAAAAGACAATTAAACGGACCACTTCCAATCAGGAAATTGTGAGTTTAAAAAGTAAAGCAAATCTAAGTGATTGCAAGCTTTCCATTTTATGATGAACTCCTGTTGTCATTACTTAAGTCCTGCCACCTTTGTAATCTCTCTTTCATTAGTGAAATACAGTAGTTAATTAGAGAACAGATTTACTTAAGTTCATTATTTGAAGCAAGTAGCTTTCCAACTGAATTATTGGTTTCCTTTTCACATTTTGCTCTTAAAGACTGCAAAATGTAAAATTCCCCAAGCTTTTAATTCTTTGTGTCCTTTTCCTGAAGAAATAAAGGAAGAAGTTTGCTGCTTTTTTCTGGAAATGAGCTCAAGGTGACTGCATTGTTTATAATCTAAAACTGTAATTAATGGCGTTAATGTTTAGGAACAAAGGATTTAAAAACAACTGAGAGATACCCATCACTTAGTGGAGAAGTGCCTCCCAAGGAAGTTAATACCGGAAACTAAGTGAATAAATCACATTTTCTGTTACTGCAACACCTTTTCTCTAAAGGGAATTGAAAGCTGTTTGCAGATTGTGAGAAAAGGATCAGAACTGAAATGTAACCTGTTGTCCAGTCCAGCTTTAGTGTTTCAGGCTCTTGTAACTTCATTCCTTCTGGTAAAAAAAAATGCTAGAAATCACAGTTGAATTTCAGCCATGTGTGGGTTTGGGATAACAAATGTCATAATATAATTCTGTCCCTAAACTTACAAGATGTGAGCCCTGATTCCCACTAACTTCATCTACTTGACATTAATATATAAATATCTTGCATGCTCCCACGCAAACATTTCTTCATGCTGTTTATTTTTTCAGTTGAATATATCAGATTTGATTCTGCATCCATGTAGTAGATACACAAACCCAGAACACATTTTTGAAGGTGTTACCAGATCACTGCATAACATTTGGATTCTCTATTCAGCATTTCTGTTATGCACACTTAATTTTCCATTTAAATTTCCTCAGCTGTTACTTGTCACAATCATCTGCTGGTTGCCTTGAAGCTGGCAGCACTAATGCAAAGCTTTGATTGATTAAAAAGGTAAATCAATGAATGAAGTATTATTAAAAAGAAAATAAAAATGTTGCTTTGGGATTTAGATTTTTTTTGTCATGTTAAAGTAACATATTTAGAGGATATAGATAAATCAGATTCTAGAAGAGGGTTTTTGTGGCTTAGATTAAATAATTTTATTTTTACATATTGTTAAAAATAGTAAATTATTTTTTCAGAAGTTAGTGAATGTGAATTAAGGGTATATTTTCCACTTTGGTTAAACATTTACAGTTAATACAGATTTGCCATTCTACCAGAGGTCTCTGTTATTTCAGGACACTTTAGCTTACAACTTACCTTGGAACATGTTACAGTAAAGCTATTTATAAAAGAGAGGAGCATTACAACAGGAAAACCAGTTCCAAGGTCCTATACCCAGTTACACTATTTTTCTGGGTTCCTGCATTTACTGGCAAAGGTCGTGTTCCTTTGTACTTCGTGTGTGACTGGGGAGGCTGGTGAAAGCCCCAGCCCCTGGTAGGAGGCTCGTCAGCAGGTACAGCCTCCACCAGAAATGCCAGCAGGCCATCTGTGCTTGTACAGCCGCCCAAAACTTGTCTCCACTTTTAACAAGTGCCAGCTCTAGTGGCTGCAGAGTTGAAACATGCTGACCTAATTTTCTCGCCACCTAGATATTGGCAGGTGATGATTCTCAGTTGTTTTCAGCAATGTTCTGTGATCTATGAGTAATTCCTTTAGCAACACAGACTAAACTAGACCTGCTGTTTAATCAGAGACAGGTCAGTGTTTAACCGCTCGATTGTTTTTTCTGGAAATATCCTTGTTGGTGAGCAAGATGGGAAGAACAGCCACTCATGAAAGGTCAGGAGAAAATAGACTTTGTTGTTGCTGTGCTGCAAGACAGGTAATCAGAAATGTCTCAAACTTACTAGTTTGGAAACTAATATCTGACTAAATTAAGTTACATTTCAAGATCCTGGGCTTAAAACATCCCTGAAAATTAGTGCAGATTCTGTGATAATGTATAAAAGAAACTATACTTAATACATGTGAGCACAAAGAGAATAAGCTTAAAATTCACTGAGCCCTTGCTTTTTGGGGCATTAGAGCAGTGATTCAGCTGTGTTCTGCTATTGCCTTGGAAAGTTTCTGCTTCACTGTATACTCCAGGCTGTTCTTGCTGAGCTGCCATCCTTCTGGATGCATGCATTTGAAATCATAATAATGATCATGTGGATACCTTCTAATTTGACTGTAATTTAAACACTGCTTTCTCAGCTCCCTGGCCCTAATTGCAGCGCACTGAGGCAGCCAGCCACATTCACCATGCAGGCTGGAATAACTGCCTGCTACCAAACACATGTAAATTAGGAACTGAAACAACTGTGTTGCTGTGCTTTGCACGAGGAGTACCACAGGTAATGGGTCACATTCAAGTCGTTGAAGTCTTTGGGTCTGTCTGCATCTTTTATCTTCCCAGTGGGAACATTATAGCAGGACCTATTAGAGCTATACAAAAGAAATCAGGTCCAGTTTAAAAGAACTGCATGGTGCACACTACAGTTTAGTGAACTCAAATTTGCAGAGCAAGGCTACCTTGGAGGCTAGAAACAGCGACCATGCTTGTGCTCTGGTCGTGTTTGTCTGGGCAGCGATGGCATTTGTGCTGATAGCTGCTCACTCCTGTTATGTTGTGCTAGTATTTTTGGCTCTTTGCCTCTGAGATTCCACTGGGATTAGTAGCATGGAGATGGTGATTACTGCCACAGACATAATAGGAAGAAAGCCACATTAAAACACAAAAGGGAAAGAGGGAACCTTTCAAAATGCATGGCAAAGATGGGACTCGTATATTACTCTACCCAGGAGGACCCATCACAGCTCTTCTTGACAGACCAATAGGAAAATGAAATGTCTTCAGACACATTTCTCTCCTCACACCTGAAACAACAGCTTGCCTCCTATTCCCTGAAACACACCACTGGTGTTGAAACGTGCTCAGTAATTCCATTCTCCTAGAGGTAATGACATTATTAGCATGACATCGTAGAGCACAGTTCATTCTGGGTAGGCATGCTGTAAACATCACTAGAGGAGTGCTGGATGGAATAGGTAATTGATGCAGGGGAGAACACTAAGATTTTGGCTACAACCATTTGCTGTGTAGTAGCCAGCAGCTGGCTAACTGATACCTCTTACCTACTAGCTACTCATAACAAGTACCATACTTTTTGGGTGAAGCCCAAGTTTTCAGCAATACCTTATGCTATTGATATTAGGCTCTATGCTTTAGCTCCTACTATTTACTGATTTTCTAATAAGTCTAGCTTTTTTTTTTTTTTTTAAATGAGGCTACAGGTGTGTTCAGAGGATGATAGAGTTTAGAGCTGCTGAAAACCAAATTGTAGCTTTTGAGTTCCATTTCCAGCTCTATAACCCTCTGCAACTTACTGTATTTTAATTTCCTGTCCGTAAACTGTGGCTGAAATTCACAGTAGTTTCCTTAGAGAGACTGCAAAGATAGATTATTTTGCAGTTTAAATTTAAGTTATGAGATTCACTGATAGAAGCCCTGAAGGTGTGTAAACTAATGCAACATAATAAATGCAATATATGTTACTACTGTAGTAATGTGCACATTTGTTAAGGTCAATCTACCTCAGGTTATCTTTGCTAAAATACGGCTGAACAGACAAATTAGAACCCAAACATTCTGAAGGTGCTGTGGGAAGAGGTGATGACCAGAAGTACTAAGGACTGGTTAATTTCTTCTCCAGAATCATCAGACTTTAGCCTCAAGTCATCACATTAGGTCATTTAGTTTGCAACTAGCCATCAGCTTACAGATTATTGGTTATTTCATTGTCTAAAAACTATGAATTGAAGACAATGCAGCAGTTATTGTCCTCTAAAATAATGCTGAATAAGCACAATGAGAATGTCTAGAGTCATGAAGAATATAAAGAAAGCAGTGACCCAGAGAAATACCAAACTGGAAGCATCACCATATTGAAATGAGGTTCAGAGCTGCTTTGCCTACCTTTCCACAATCACAGTCAAGGAAGAGATCAACAAACATTTGCCTCCACATATCATGTCTTATCATTTCTTGAAAGTCATCAGCACACTGCCGGAGATGCTTCAGGATTTCTTGGAACATGTCATGTGAAAAATGTTCAGTGTAGGAATGGACATACTATGGAAAGATAAAAAGCAGCAGTGGAAATAAATAGATTTTTTTTCTCAAGTATATTCGCCTTTATTTGAATTCCTGAAAATCTATTGCATGCAATGAAACATACAGGAATTTGTAGTTTAATCTCCTAACAAAACACTGACTTGCTGCATGGATTCTATACCCCCTACTTTGTTTTCTGTCAGAAGCAGCAATATTCTGCAAACAAGCCCGGGACACTGCTGCACCAGGCACTGCACAAAAGCATCTTGCACAGTTCCTTTCCTGGCCCAGAGGCCATTTATCATGTTCAGTGGTTCAGAGCTGCTGAATCAGAATCCTTCTTGTGAAATGTCATTGCTTAAGCCAGGTTATCACAGGGAGGATAGAAGTTCTCCATGGGTTTTGCAGCATTTAGTATTCTGACTTGCCTCCCAAGGAGGAATTTTGAGCCATTCGTTTTTGCAGAGCTGACAGTCACTCAACTCCCTAATGCCACAAAATGACCACTGCCCACAATTTCTGTGTTTAGAGAACTGGTCTGGATACAATAAAGGAAGGAAAGAACCTTTTGAAAATGAGCCTGCTGTCACCTAACTCCTCTGACACTGGGAATACTACTGACTTGAGATTTATTTTAAGTTCTAGCCTTGGAGACACTCTAACACTTTGGATTTATAGCCATGTGGTTTTTATGAGCAAAAGCAATAAGGTTCTAAAAATGTGGTGTGCATGACATAAATAATAATGGCCACCAGAACAAACCACAATCCCAAAGCCTGTCCTGAATTATTATAGCAGGTTTCTGCAGCCAGCCACAGTTAACAGGGAGCCCATACAGTTAAAAGGAGGAATTTCCAAATCACAGAATGTTTCCCATTATCCCACTTCTAGACTACGAATACCTGAGTGTTAGAACATCTTGGGCTTGATGAAAAGCCACACAGGCATTAACAAACTGAAAAATTAATGTTATTATTATTAATGTCTATGTTGCATAATTTCCAAATATATGGGACAAGTGGTGAGGAGAGGAAGAGCAAAAGAGCAGAAAAGCAGCAGCCAATGGCCTGAAGGGTGGCTGGTGGGAAAATGGAACTTCTAAGGCAATGGGTGGGTTTTTCTGCATTTCAGCATAAAAAGAGAGGACCTAAGTGGGTTGGAGAGAAGGTGGAGAGATCTGGGGCTATGTGTATCTAATAGCTTTTCAGAGCTATTACAAGCCAGAGCCCTGTGACAGATGAACCTTAAAGATGACAGCAGTTGGGAGGAGGCAGATTGGACAAGCAGCTTGTTATTTTGTGTGTCATCTTGATGACACATCCACAGGCTTATGTATTAATACTGCTGTCTAACAGCTTCCCAGAACATTTTCTAGAAGCATATGTTCAGCTCTGTGGGCAGGAGGAGCTCTCCTAGAGTCTTAAGCTTTTCCTAGCTGATGTGTGTAAAGAGCTCTACTGTGTAAAGTGCTGCACACATAATATGCACACATTTATTTATTATTAACCAAGAGACTTTGACACCCATCAGAAGAAAGCTGGCACACTTCCTCCTTGCTATCCAGTGTGGGACCTTGCTGTAGCTTGTGAAAGCAGTATCACCAATAACAATGGAACTTTGCTGTTTGGTCCTCCTGATCTCAATAGTAATTGAGTAAGCCACGTGCAATGATGGGAAATAATCTCACCTTTAAAGCCTGATTCTGGGCCTACCAAAGGAATGTGAGTGTTTCCCTTGGTGTCAATAGCTTTGTGTCAGTCTGCTGGGGGTTCTGCATCTAAGAGTGCAGAGCCTGTGAAATAAACCTATTAAGGACTTGTGTCTGGAATATAAACATTTTTAGTATAAAAAAACCCAATGAGCTTGTCACGAAGGATGTAAAAATACAACAGCCACTGTTTTGCATGTCCAAAAAAACCCCAAACCAACAACAACGTGTGAGGTCTCTCTACTGAATTTCTAACAGCATTTAACCCCAAGCTGCACTGAATTCAAGGAAGAAAAAAAAAAAAAAGTGCCATTTAATTTTAAGGTCCATTAAAAAGCAATGTTTTCCACATGTGAAAGGGCCCAGACCAGTGAGGAGAAAATTCATCTCTCTTTCTGGTTTTGGACGATGCAGGCTGATGAACAAAGGTAAATTGTAGCTGTGGATTAGAAGCAGCCGTGTCCTGAGAGTGAGGCCTGTGATGATGGAACAGTTTCCCAAGGGAAGTGATGAAAGCCTCATCATCTGATCCAATTAAAATTGGTCTGGAAAAAGCATCAGAGAGTGTATTCTGAGAAGAGTGTTGCACTGGCTGGTGAATCAGACAGCTTCACAGCCCATGTCTTTTGTGGTTCTGATCTCTATTGTCTTATATTTGAGTTAAAATAAGAAGTACACAAAATATATTTTCAAATATTTTTCTAATGCTTATGGAGCATGGATTCATTCAGTGCTTATACCTGTACCATAGGGGCTACGGATCGATGCTTCATTTTAGTGACAAAGGCAACTCTCTGGGCTCCCATTATCCTCAATAGTTTTCTTAATTAAATGCAGTTATTCTGAGGTTAAATTTAAAAATACCTCATTTCATGCTTAAAAAAGCCTTCAACAAGTTAGCATGAAGATGCATCTCTGTGCAAAATACCAACCATGTGAGTCTCCTGAGAGTGAAGAAGGCACAAAATCACACATGGTTGCTTGAAATTAGTCTCAGCACAGCTGCTTTATACTCTGCTTTTAATTGTAACAGCACTCACTAGCACTGCTGCCACCGAGGGTCTGTCATTATTTCCATTCTAAACATCCCTTTTCACAGGTTTAATTACCCAGCCATAAAATTTAGCTCTGTCATAGGTAGAAATGACTGGCAAAGTCTTGGCCTGGAGAGATTTTCAGTAAATATAGTTTCAACCGATTTGGTTGTTTTCAACTGGATGAAGACTAGAGTAAGGGGGTGAAACTTCCTACTACATTTTGGTGAGTTAAACCACACTTCAGGTGTTTCTCAGTGACAGCTTTTGATTTTAAAACAGTGTGTTTCTCAGCCTGATTATGCTTCTCACACATTTATGACACTTGTTGCACTTTGGTTATGGTTCAGGTCAGTATTAGTTTAGGACAAAAATGGTAGAGCTTCTCTTCACAGTTCATCACTTGTTAGGTTTTCCTATGGTTAATAGATCTTAATCACAAATAACAATACTTTTGGGACAGTACTAATTACCTCAGGCTAATGGTTATATGGGGACATCGACCCTCCCTTGAGCAGCCAACACAAAATCTGAATTCACAAGTGATTCAGGGCTTTGGCATTCTATAAAGGGACTGAGAAGGCTGTTCTAAAAAACACTGCTTCGAGAGGAACTTCTCAGAGAGCAGCACAGGCTGCATGCAGCTCTGAGAGCAGAACGTTTCCCCTTGCTGGGTGCAATGGAAGTGTTGTGACAGCAGAGGGTGGATACAGAGATGGTATATGAAATGTCTTCATACAGCCAGTTACTGGGATCCTGGAGAAGTGAAGTCCTTCACTTACTCACCTCAGCTGTACCCAGGGAAATGCCATTTTGTAATAAACATCATATTCTGAATCAGATGCTTATTTTGTTTCTCACCTCTGTGAATTCATCTATGTTTACTTTTTTTTCCAATGTGTCTATGATTTCCAGCTTCCTGTCATAGATTGCTAGTAAAAAATGAAAGGATATTGGTTTAGAAAGCAAACAGTGGTGGTTTTGCATGTTGTACCCATTTTTTTTCACACTGTAAGTTACATTATCTTTCTTCTCATGCTAGATTACATTTATCTGAGTTGTCCTACACAGTAGCTGAAGCATTTGACTGTATAAAGACTCTATAAATCTGATTCTTACATGTTTCTCTTGCTGAGAATCTGTACTTATCTATTCAGAACTGTATGGTCATATTTATTCTTGACATATATTGGTAAAAATTGCAGTGATTTTAATGGTACTTATGACAATGTAAGGGAAGAAATTATTTCTGATTTAACAAACAGATAAAACTGCCTTAAAATTCTGGGGACACGGATTCTGCTTTGCAAGAGTGGAATCAGAAAATCATAGTATTTTCCCAAAAAGCTCTGTGGCAACATTTTTACTGATGACAATATTCAAAACTATCTTTTGGTCAGCTTCTGGGCTGCTGTAATGGAACTGAGAAGATACATCAAATGGCTACAGAGACTTCTGAACGAGGCCATTTGGCACAGACATGCTGTTTCTGTTGGGTTTATCATTCTGTTCCTTCTTCCACACTGTATCAGGAATAATGAGAAAATTCACCATAGAATACATTTATCTCTTTTTGGTTAAGACATTTCTAAACATTATCTATATTAAACTATAAAACAAAGCTTAATGTTCTGTTAATGTATATTGGATGCTACTAAATGAAATTCATTAAGAAATGGAGCCACACTATTAGTGAAATAGGACCTAAAGCACCTCCAGCATCTCAACAGAAACCTCCTTCTTCTGAATCTCATGTCCAAGTATCTGTTCATACTCAAGAACTGCAGCCCCCCCAGCAGGAGCACAAGGGCTGTGTTGGGCATTCACACAACGTACTACCAATACAGGATGATTACTCAGAGGAACAATTCTGTAATATAGAAGGGGCTGAGAAAGGGCAAGCTCTAGACATAGAGGTGACTCCAGCAGCAGCAGAAGTGCACTCTAGAGTTCCCTGCTTATCATCCCACCTCCTAGCAAAGGCAGATTGTCATTACTGATGATCATGATGATGTAAAGGGCAGGCAGCAGGCTGTATGTTGCCACTTGAGTGTTCTTAGCTCTATCTGTTGGATTATCATTATTCGAGGAGGTCAGGTGTAAGCTATATAAAGTGGACAGGCATTATGGAAACCCTTTTTGTGCTGAGTGCTCTGGTGCAGAGGCCTTTGTGCTGTGTGTCCCTGGCAGGCCTGGGACTGGTGAGGGGAACAGCTAGATAAGATGGGCTATTTTGTGGAGTGTTAGGTAAGCTTCAGCAATAACCATAAATGGTAACAACTCTGTTTGACTTTAATTTTCTTGATCCTACCTTTCCTCCCTACCTTCCAGTATGCCACACTGTCTATGGGATTTCCAAGACCTCCCATGAGACAGGGAACACCATGGGACAGAGCAGATGAATGAGGTTGTCACAGAGCTGCTTAAAAATTACAGTCAGCACATGGCAATATCTGGCTAATGCAGGATGTAAGTGGACAGGGCCTGCATCTTATCTTTCTATCTCTCTGAAAGCTTTTTTTAAACTTCTTTCCATACTTTTCACGATCATATTCACCAACCACATGGTGGTTCAGTCTATTTCTGATCTGTCTGAAGATTTGTGGCTCACATCTAGCTGCTGTAACTGCCCTTAGAGATTCTTTCTCTATTATTAAATTTGTTTGCGGTTTGCTCACCGTTTGCATCAGAATTCAGACCACAGAAATAAAACTGAGGGAAACACATCAAAAACTTACCTTTCCTCACATCTATAGAAGCAGAGGCAATGATATCTGGAAAAGACCTCAGGGCACTCTGAACCTACAAATCAAGGTTATAGTCAAAGGCCTGTTTCATGCAGACAACAACAGCCAATTACTAAAATAAATCACCCAGAAGAATCAGTTGTATGGGCCAGCCACGCTTCCTGCCACACACAGGTGGGGCCTGCTAAATGTAGATCTTGTCTCTGTTGTGCTGTGTGCTACCACAGGACAACTTCTGTGACTTTTAAGAAAGATGCTTTACCAAGAGAGATATTACTTTTTTTTTAGAAAAGTGTGTTGTATGGCCCAGCCCCGCTTCCTGCCACACACAGGTGGGGCCTGCTAAATGTAGATCTTGTCTCTGTTGTGCTGTGTGCTACCACAGGACAACTTCCTAGGAGCCTTCTGTGACTTTCAAGAAAGATGCTTTACCAAGAGAGATATTACTGCAAATTTCATTTTTGCTGAGCTGCAGTATCAATTTGTATGAGTCACAGTGGTAGAAATAAGATTTAATGGAGGTCACAGGAGAGCAAGAGTGGCTGCCCTGGATCTTTTAACAGGGAGTCTGAGGGATGACTAGCTGCAGAGAAGGACATCCAGTGATGAGGTATGTATCCAGCAACCTCAGGGGTGTCTGAGCACCTTACAGGGCATTTAGCTCCCCAGGACCTCTGTGGAGAAAGCATCACAACCCCTCCATGAGCTTCCATGGGCCTGGTGAAACCAACTGGTAGGTAACGACCTGTCCAGCAACCTCAGGGGTGTCTGAGCACCTTACAGGGCATTTAGCTCCCCAGGACCTCTGTGGAGAATGCATCACCCCTCCATGAGTTTCCATGGGCCTTGTGAAACCAACTGGTAGGCAACGACCTGCACCCTGACCCTAAGAGCTGTCATGCCAGGGCAGGCAGCACTACCACAAACTTCCTTTCCCCCCTGTCTGGAGCTATCACACCAGTGTGTTAACAAGGATCATCCCTAGTTACCATTGCAACAGGTATTCTGCCACTGACATCCACTGTCCACTCTTTGAACTGAACTGCCAGTGCCTCCTTCCTCATCTCTTTCACCTGAGACTTCATATTTTCCACCTGCTCCCTTTCCTGACGTTTGTTCTTTGCCTCAGCCTTCATCCTGGCCAGCCTGTGGGACATGGGAATATGGTTTAGAAAGATATCATCATACATATATTTAAGGTAGATTAAGCCTACCCTGAAGAACAAAAGGAAATCAAATAACTTACTCTGGAAATTTTTGTCCTTCTAGTACAAGTAAATTTTTTTCCAAATAAATACTTGATGTTTGAGGCACAAAATTACTAGTGTGACTGTTGGACTAGATATTGGTAATCTGTGTTTTCAGAGGCCAGCTCCAAGGAGGCTGAGTATTTATATTCTGACATGTACCATCTCCTGAAATCTAGTGTAACTCTAATCACATTTATAATGGCACTAATCATTTATTGTGTAGATGTCCTTCAATTTCATTTCAATTTTAGCAGGAAGAGAGGTGCCTAATTTTGCTACACTTGATTTACCAACAAAATTGCATCAGTACGCATTTGTCTGAAAGCCTGAGTACCATTTCACATAAGCACAGCCCTGGCAAAGAACAACGTTCAATGAAATTTCTGAAGCAGTCTCACACAATAAAATCCACACTGCCTTAGGACAGGGATAATACACCAGCCTCTCCTCATTTTGAACACATACAGTTTGCAAGCTTGGACTAAAAGTACCTCCCTTTCTTTTTCCTTCTGTTTTCTTTGTTTCTGTAATCAGCCAACCATGTTTTTCCCAATACTCCATTTCACACAACAAAAGAACTGAATAAAATTGATGCCATAGAACTCATCCGATTTGGTTTTGTCTTTGTTCATTTATGAAATGGGGAAAAAAAGCCTTTAGGAAGTTCAAAATTCTTAAAGCCAAAGGATCAGTTCATATGAGGAGAACAGTTTCTGCTCACAAAGGCATCTGGAATCTCTCCATATTGAGACTTATGCCCTGGGCACCTCTGTGGCTCTCACCTGCACCCTCCACAGCCAGTCAGAGTAAGGGGCATTGCTCCTCTTTTGGACCTGAGAACACACCAATCTAACTATATCTTAACTAATGAATCCTGCTCCCTTCTTCCCTGTGTTTCACATATTGTGAAGATGGGCTGATCCTGTCCCTGCTCTCTTCTGTTCCTAGGGATCATCCTAGAAATTATAAAACAATTATGTTTCTTCTAACGACTAGAAAGGCCTGTTTAAAACACTACAGCAATTCACTGATCACAGTCAGTTTTATCACTTCATGGCCACTTATCACAGCGGTTTCTGAATGAATAACTGGGCTCCTTAATCAGTTGTGGGCATTGCACAAGTACCTGCTGAGGCAGTTCAGCCTCTGGCACTTCGATAGCAGGGGAAGGGTGAAATAATTTCTAATCTTCTGATGCCTTTACAGACACAGCAAAGAGGAGTTATGTAGAAGGTACCAAGCTCAATGGACTAATAGATTTTTCTTCGATAGCAGGGGAAGGGTGAAATAATTTCTAATCTTCTGATGCCTTTACAGACACAGCAAAGAGTTATGTAGCAGGTACCAAGCTCAATGGACTAACAGATTTTTCTCCAGTGTATGCTACAGACAGAAAGAGAAAACCAGAGCATTTCTAGCTGCAGCTCCTCCTCAGGAGCAGCCTGCAAGCTGAAAGCAGGGCTAAGGCCATGCTAGGAGTTGCCAGAGTGCTCTGATGATTAATATGGGCAGTGCCCAGCACAAGGCACGTTTATGTGCTGTGCCTGCACTGTGCTGCAGTTTTGCATTTATTTCTAGGGTCCTAAAACCAGGGAGCTGCATCCTCTGCCTGGTGTCCCTGGTGTGGGACTAAACATTTCCCCTGGACAAGAGCAGCAGAACAGGAGATCCCAGCGCTGGGCGCCCGTTTCAAAGTGAGATCTTTCCAGTATCAGCCACTTCCAGAAAAGAGGAGATGGCAGCAAGGGTGAGTTCCCCCTGCAGAATGGAACATGTTCCTAACTCCCACACACAGAGGGGTGACTCAGCCAGGACTGCCAGCCCTGGACAAAGAAATCTGTCTTCCAGGTATCAGTCCCTTTGGATGAGGAATCTCTCCCATCTGTTCTCCTGCATGCCTTGACTCCCAGTCAGGTGGCAGTTAAGGGGAGATGGAGGAACACTGAGAGCTTGCTGAGGACTGGGAAGCTTTAGGTATGAGCCTGTGGTGACATCCTGCCTTTCCTGAAGGTAATGTCAAGGCTCCCGGGAGCTTCACTGGAGCAAGAATTTCACTCCTCATCTTTCTGGTGCTCATGTGAGAGATTTTGAGCACACACTGCCCTTTCTCATTTTTTTTTTCCTGTTCAGAAAGGCAGTGACTCACATTAGGAGGCTCTGTGCTACACAGTGTCACTAAAATCTTCTGCTGCTGTGGTTTAAGGATTCTATGCAAATCCCACAACAGAGCCATCACAAATATGTAAATCCTGAGCTGCTGTGAATGCAAATCCCATGATACTGCTACCAGCGGATAAGCAAAACCTGCTACAGCTATGGCTACATAAACCCCTGTGGCAGTGCTGTCTGTGGAGAGATTGATCTCTACAAGTCTTGACAGTCAATTCTTTGCATCAGCTCTGATAGCTACAAATTGAGAACCTGTCTCCAAATGTAAACATGGACTTAATAGCCAAGGCCAAGATAACATGTCACAGGTAGCCAACACTTTGCATTCTGTAGGAAAATCTGACCCCTCCAGAAATAAATTCTGATTTACAATGAAAACCAGGAGTATTTTAGCAGAAAAAAACCCCAACAAAACCCAAACAAATAATCCCAAACCCCAGGAAATCTTCTGTATTTTAATTCAGTTTCCTTTACAAAAGAAAAATGAGATATGGTTCCGAACTTCCTGTATCCAGCTCTGGTTGTACTATGGTATGTCTGCTTATGAGTTAAAAACAAAAAACCCCTGAGCTGTTACACACTGACCACAATCAGTCCACTATAATTATTTTTATCTGTGGGGAAGAGGGAGGTAAGTGACTGTAGGAAATTAGTTTATCACATTGCTTTAGTCGTACTCACACAAGGCATGTTCCTATGAACTCTAACAGTGTGTGGACTAGAAACACAGAGGGACAGAAACTCAGAGCAGTAGAGAGAAGTTTAACATATTCTTTTATTCATTATAATACTGGGAACCTCAATTATCTTCATTTAGAGTTTATGCATAAGACTTGTCAACATTTTACTTCCCTAATTCCTGACACTGAAACCCTGAAACCAATTTTCAAGCTGTATGTACTATTTATGCAAATAAGACAGCCATTCAAATAGAAGTCATTATTCCACAACACAGATATAGAATCAAGTGATCTAGTCGTGAATGAGTAATTTTGACATCATTCACAATCACCTCTGGGTCATCTATAAACTCCCAATGCTCATGTCTGTATTATTCTGAATAGAGCAATGAAATGAAATTGCTCACCCAATGCACTCACTTTCCAACCTTAGCATACTGTGAGGTACCATGGAACCCCCTTCCAATATTCATTGAATATGAAACTAAAGCAAGCAGTCTAGAAAACACCCTAGAAATAAGCAGCATAATAAAATACAAACCAGTTTCTACTTTAAAGGGAAAAGAGGAGGAAAGCTTTGGTCCTGAAAGGAAAGCCTATGTAAAACTCTCAGGAGAAGGAGTTTCTACAATGTGCCAGGACAATATTGTTGCTAGTAGAAATCATCCTGAAGGAGGAAGGTTATCTTTTTACAAGTTTGTAAGAATATAAAAGAAATATCTGAAGAGTCCCTAGACCTTTGATACTAACACCTCTCCTAAAGAACAGCTGTCACTAACCTAGACCGGTTTGAAAGCAGTTTGCATTCTCCACGTGTAATTAAGGTAGAGTCTGAAGAGGAATTATAAACTTGTGAAGGTAGAATATTGCCTGAAACAGGAATAACTAGTGTTTCATTTGTGTGACATGTTCTGGCATTTGTCTTGCTTCTCAAGTTTTTAGGAGAGACAACTACCATCTCTGGCACTGTACTCCACAAGGTACATTTTGTCTGACACCTTGCCAGCCAGGCTGCACTCCCATCATTCCTTCTGTCAAACAGAGACCAAGACACCAGCTCTGGTCTTGTGACCAGGAACATTTTCAACTCTCTCACCTCTCTGATGTTGTGCCTGGCATCTCAGCTTTTAGCTCCTTTGTGACCATCCTCATTCCTCTCAGATATGGGCCTGGTTTTGAGGAAATACCATACCGAGGGTTATATCTCATCAGATATTCACCAAGAAAATTAATGGGGTTAAATGGGGTTGGTTCTTTGTCTGGTGCAAGCACATTCTTTCTTTCCACTTCCATTAACAGTTTTTCCACTCCTGGGACTAATGTAGGTAGGAGTTTGTCAAGCAAATAGATGCGAGTATCTAGTGACTCTTTCTCTTCACTGAACCACTCTTTGAACAGCCAGTCACAGGCTTCTCTCTTCTTTACCTTGTCTTCTTCTTCCTTTTGTGCACAAATTGTCTTCACCTTTGCCTCCTGCAGGCTCAGACACCTCTGCTGTACCTCTTCATAAAAAAACTCTTTCCAGAGAGCGTAATTACTCAGACATGGCAGCTCATCATCCTGCTGATTTCTCTTCATTTCTGTGGCACTCATATTCTTACCTCCACGTCTGGCATGTTTTAGAACTGCAGTTTGGGCTCCTTCTCCTGGCTGAGCAGCCATACTTCAATCACTGTGACACAGAACAAAAGCAGCATGTTATATAATGCCAAAAGATGCAGCAGTGTCCTAGCAGATGACACAGGAAAAAAGCCTATTGTTAGGAATTAACTAATATTTTTTTTCTGTGTTCCTTATTCTGTTACTGCTTCTTTGTACTTTTAAATAAATACAGCCCCTCTACTTCAAAGATCAGTAAATGATTTATAAAGATTAATTATGTATCACGACAGCCCATGGAGACAGAGCAACTAAATAAGTGTGTTCCTTTCCTACAGGAAAAGAAACTGAGACACAGAAGAGATGTGATTAATTCCAGGTCACTTATAGTCTCAGAAACCAAGTGGTGAATAGTGCTCAGAAGTCTTGTCCCTCACTTCTAACCAGTGGATTCCTCTTACCCATGGTAACGTTATTTCTGCTTAGGCTCCATTCCATGCCTCCAGGAAACCCAGGGGGTATGAGACCAAGGAAGCAAGTAATGGAAAATACCAGATGCCTAGGAGCAAGATTTCTCTACATGCTGCCTTCTGCTTCATCTTCACTGTAGCTGTGAAAAGCAATGAGGAAGCTTGTCCCATAGACTACTTAATTTCACCTTTGGCAACTATTTTTTCCTCTGGTCACTTTGTTAACAAGGATGTGGAGCTATGGGTCAGTACATCTCCCTCAGAAAGGGAAACTCTGTACCATGAACTCTATAATTAAGCTGTTCACAAGATTATTCTGACAGACCTGCATAGAGTTGCACAAATCTCCCTTTACAAATTCCCAGACTCCACTGTTTCCTTCTCAAAATATTCATTCTGTGAAATACCAGAAAGAAACTGAGTTGCTCACAAAGCAGAATTTGGAATCTATTGCTGTATGTCTGCACACATCACTGTCTGCATTTGTAATGGGACTTACACATACAGAATGGAACAGAATGTTGCCTAACTACTTGATTCAAGTTTGAAAAATCACCAGCATGATGAAAAAAAATCAGCAAAATAGGGGTGAAATTAATAGAGACAGCCTAACAACTTTCCAAATTAAAGAGGAAACTCCCCTCTGAACTTGCTGCCACACTATCCTCTTCAAGCTCTTATTTGAAGGTGCCTTTCAGTATCCATAGCAATACTATTGCTTTTGATATGTTTTGGTCTTTATGTTTAAGCATTTTTAGCTGTTCTGAGGAGAGTTCAGCCTTCCAGGAAATGCATCAATGTGATCTACAGCCCTCCTGGCACACAAATGTAATTACTAATCTGTTGACCTTCTGCTTCATAACCACTGAGTCCAAATATTGCTTGGATAGGTAGGATGCTTCACAGCACTAAATTTCTGTGTCTTTTTTCTCGATGGGCTTGTTGGTATCTTCTGGTGATTTGTTTTCAGAGATGATTACCTGCTGAGGAGTGAGATGGATTTATGGATCAAGCTGCCTGCCTGACCCACACAGAGGGTTTTAAGATGGTAGCTGGTTTTGCCACCAAAGGACATGAGCTGTAAAGGAGTCCAGATTTATAATGGTAGAAAGGGAAACCTGTCAACCTTGTCAAATTGTTCCTTGCTTAGGTGAGTTTCTTCCTATAAACTGTAAAACCAGACTCCTTCTGGTTCAAAGCAGGGTGTTAAGCAAATGTTCTGGTCACATTCCAAATCAGCTCATTTTGTTGTGACAAAATAAACTCTTCTTGCAGTTTCAAATACCTGTTATATTTTAACATCGTTTACGAAACCGCTCTGCAGTTTTCTGTGCAATGTTAAAATGACAACTGCTCTCTGCTTTATGGGGTGGCTGATTCTGAATGATGATGAACATGTTTACTGTGCTGCTCTCAGCCATTTGTTAGGATGATTTTGAGGATTAGTAAATGTTTATAAAGTATCTCTCTGTCTCTGAACAAAACAAAACAAAATAAAAACCAACTAAGTGCAAGTGTTGCAGCTCACTTCCATGGCATTCATCTAACTCCAAGAAGAGAAGCAAAGCAGAGAACTATATCCACTGCTTTAATGCAGGACAGATAAAGCAGACTAAGAGGGTATGGAAGAACATACAAACAGCACATAACTGTTCAAATAAACAATAAAGGAGTGCTAGGATCAGGCCCCACACTTGGAATTTGTCAAGATTTACAGATACACCTCCAGTCTGTATAAGACACCAGTGGCTCATAAACTTCAGTGTTGATTTACATTAGTTGAGAATTTGGCCTGTAACATATAGAGCTCTCATGGCCTGTGACATTCCCAAGTGGAGGCTTGATTGTCCAAATAATAGTAAGCATGGTGCACAGAGGCAAGCTTTAAAAACACCCAGGCAACTTGAAATGTGATACAAAGTTTCCTGTAAGCCTTTGTTCAAGCTGTAGGCAAGATAAGCTCTTCATTATTTAGTAGGATGCCACTTTCATGGCTGCTTTTCTGTGAGAGAAATATTCTTGCTGGAATCCTTGCAGGTACAAAAAAGATTATCTCTCATAAATAAGATTTTTATTGTTTCACTGTTACTCTGTTAGGAGATTTTGATGAGTGGGATAGGGTCAGGAAAGACTAAAGTTTGTCTAGGTAAGTATTTTGGAGATTTTTGAGTTGGAAAAGTCTTTTCAAAAATAGAGTCCAATCTCTTTGATGCACTATTGCTCAGAAGTAGTTTTGCCTTTCCCTAATGTGCTTCATAGAGCATGTTTATCTCATCAGTCCCAAAGAGCCCAATATCTTTTTCATACACAATCTTTTCAATACAATTAAAATTTAAAAAGACTTTCCCTTTTGCTTTCTGAAGCTTTGAAGAATGTTTTTCTTACCTTTGGAGCAGGTATCAAAACAGATCTTATTCCTCTTGCTTTCAAAGTGGCTTTGCAAATGAACAGGAATTTAATATTTGCCCATCTGTTCTCAACCATTTGAAATCTTAAAGTGAATTAGGGATTTCTCAGACCTGCTGTGGAGCCGGGCTGTGAGTTTTACTCCTCTGTGTGTTTGCAGTTGCTAAGCAATAATCCCAAAGGTTGCTATGTCTCTTCCACCACTCAGAATTGCTGTAGGTTGTCTGTTGGCTTTGGCAGACCAACAGACACTTCTATTCTGAACTTAGATCTTTGCATCACATGACTGAAAATAAAATTAAAACCATTATGAATAGTGACAGACAAAATTAAGGGCACAAATAGTCAGAGAGAGAATCTGCAGGTGCCCAGTGACAGGTTTACCTTCAGATTCAAGGTTCACAAAGTCCAGAACTGTTGCAAGTCCATTTCAAGATGAACTGAAGACTGTATCAACCAGATGTGAGAATCTGAAAGATAAAAAGAAATTAATTGCAAACTCAATTTAAACATTTTCAGGCTCCCTTTTTTGTAAAGAACTGTGTTGCTTTGAAGCAGCCTTGCAGGAAAAGCATGTATGGCACTAATAAGGAGGGAGTTTATACTACCATTTTTGTAGACTGCCTTTAAAGCTGAATCTAAAAGAATTTGATGAATCACCTTTAATAATTTCTTCTATATTCTTAAGAATAATATGCAACACAAGAAAAGGAGAAGGGAAAAGACAAAACCATCTATGACAGCAGTTCTGCTTTCATTTATACAAATGTAAATCAGGTGCCTCTTCAGTGATTTACTTGATGTTATGCAGGACTTCCAGCTGAGAAATTTATGACAATTTCTGCCAGGAAACAAGGTTTATCTAATGCCGTTTCTTTGTATTTTGCACTGGAAGAGAAATGATCTCTGGATTGTCTACCTGCAGGAAAACTGAGCTGTGACTTTAGCTATGGGCTTTGTCATTGGAAGAGCTGTGCAGCACCCTACCCTCTAGCAGAGTAATAGTCTCCATTTTATGGGTCAGCTGAGCTTGCTAGAAAACTTGAAATAGAGGCAGTTGAACAGAAATAACAGCTTTTCCAATATCTGATACAGTTACTGTCAAGAGTCACATTTGTTCTCTAGTTTAGGAACTCTTGTGTTTTAACTGTGAACCCAAAAACTTCACTGTCTCTCACCTTCATCAGGTCACTTGTTACTTATTACACTGCCCACAACATCAAGATAAGTAATAATTAAATTGTAAAACTCTGGAATTGGAAATAGCTCTAAGTGACATGCACCCAGAGTCTCAATATAAACCTAGTACACCATTTCTGCTGCTTAAAAAAAAGGTTTAGTTTTGTTCCTAAGACCTTCCACAGCAGTTAGAAAGTGTGCGTGTTGTCTACAGGGTTTTTATGAGGAGGAAATTTGCTCAGAGATTACAAGAACAGTTGCACTTCACTGGACAGTCAAAAGTCTGAATTTTTATTTTATTTTTACACTGTCTTTTCTGGAAAGTAGGATGCTATAAGTAATTCCTGGTGTTTATACCTGGCCACATTTATTTTATTGTATGTAATCCTGTATATATATCAGAAAAAATTCTATGGTTGTAACTTCTATAGATACCTCTGGCCATCTGTGCTAAGTGTCTCTCTGAAAAAAATGTTTCCTCTGGATGCTTTCAAATACCACTGCAAAGCCAAGCTTACCATTGGAGTATATTCCATAGACACTACAATACTGACTTGATTTTAGAATTCAGTATTTTCTGGCAGAGAAGAAATACAGCACAACAACACACCCCCTCAAAAAAAAATCCCCAAAAAACCCAACACATATAGGTCAGATTTCATGTGAGAAATACACTGCAATAAATTATAATTTCTTTGCTATTTATTTGAAAAAATACATATCAGAAGGAGATAGGCTCATTGCAGTGTATTGATGTGTTGAAGTGTAGCATCAATTATGTCAATAAAATGAAGCAGAAAATTAGTGCATAGGAATAATTTTAAATGAGGCTTTAAACTGGATCGTGCACTTTTTCCTCAAAGCATTTTGCTCATGATTAACTCCTGTTATCTCTCCTCCCAGGTGGGCTTGATATTTTCCCTTTGCAATTCAGAATTCTCTTGCTATTATGATTAACCTAACAAGGCTTTTTCCAGTATGAAATACAAATTTAAAAAAAATACTTTT